AGGTAAATTATTATTATAATAGAAACATTTTTCACAAAAGGAGAACATTTTGAAAAAATATTATTCTAAGTTAATATTTTGCCAAAATAGTGTATTTAAATAATTTTTTTTGTCAAAATGTCCTTTAAACAACTTTATACATGTAGTCTAATCTAAGTGACACTAAATATCATGTAAATTATCCATTTATGTGCTTTTTTAAAATCACGGTTCCGAACGTAGTCGGATATCTTAAGTACTTTTAAGCATATTTATTAAAATAAGAAATAGACAATATAAAATATAAGTATTTCCCTACATTATAATTAAATAAATATATACCGTAAAATCCGGCGTATAACGCGCACCCATACTTTCAAGCTGAATTTTATATATATATATAATTTTTAGGTATATTCGCCACATACCACTTACCCCTATTTTTCGAAGAAATCTGGAATATTAGTATATATTACTCTTATGTTTTGAAGTCATTTATTCGAAGTATTATTCCCAGACTTTTGAAAAAATAGTATACTTCTAGAACTACAATTCTTTTAGTTCATAAGTCAAATCATTTCTTTTAAAGAATCACTACTTCGATAAATGTAGAAAATTTTTTTTTTTATGCTCATTTCTTTTCTTATTTTTAAGCTATCGTTTTTATACCTGGCGTATAACGCGCACCCTTAAGTTTGGATCTTATTTTTTGTGTTAAAAGTCCGTGTTATACGCCGGATTTTACGGTAAATAAAAATTTTATTGCGAACTTGAGTGCTTGCACCATTCTACTTTCATATCACAATGTTAGGAGTATAATTTGTGATTTTCAATTAGAAACGATTCTGAGCATTCAGCTGTTAAACAATATCTTTGCCGACTCGAAATATTTTTTCATATGAGGAAAGATTTTTTATTTAGATATGTAGAACCACAAAAGCGGAAACCAGAGTATATGCAATTTTCTCATTTCAAACAATTAAATTTCTACAACAATGCCATTCAATACTTTACAAAACAGCTGTAAATTTATCTTTAGAGTTATCTTTCAGATTTTTTTCGTAATTCCTTAGATAACCATAATTCTGAAGATGTTTGTCAAATAAGGTCTATTACAGATTTATCAACTTCCATCCGCTCAAAAGCTGAGAAATTTGTATAGTGCAGAGTGCCATTGAGAACTATTCTGCGTGCCATAGGTTTCCGACCCCTGAGCTAAAGGGTAAGAATCAATTTGTACTTATTTGTATAAGCGCAGTCTCTTGTATTTGTCAAAATGTAAATCCTCCTTAATCATGAACCGTAAAAGGGATTACGACTAAATGGTTCTGGCGCGAATTCATGTAGCAATATCATCAGCAAGCATCTAGAATTATCTACAATCATCTGTTATTGTCTATATTTGTCTACTTTGTGTGGACTATTTATACGTGTTTCAGTAGTGTCGTTCTTTTGTGGTTCGGCGTTGTTCTAGCTTAAAGTGCCAATTAGAAACTGGAATTAGAGAGGATAGACCCCGTGAATAGCACATTGTTTACACATTGTGTTTATATCGTATAAACATAGTCTTATATGAATTCATGCTGTATGAAACATCTGGTACAAAAAATAGGGTTAAGGTAATTCTTATTCTAATTGTCTGAAGTCGATCTCTTACTTTTGTTTCATACCTCTCAGGCTGGAAGCTTTTAAATTCATTAGTTAACTGGAACAAGTAATATAAGAAAAAATTTCTTAAGTCAATTCCTACTTAGATCAACAAAGAAAAATTTTATTTTTTAGCTACTTTTTATTAAATAGTTATAATTAATATAAATTTGTATATACATATGACAGAATCACAACATTAAGTGGTCATTAATTTTTATTAATTATCATTAAAGTATCGTATTACTATCCAAAACAATCGTGTGTATAAAATTTCAGTTCAACTAAATACTTTAAAACGTGAGAAAAAAACCTTTTCAAGTTCTGACACAAGTCACCAAAATGGTCGGTAAATCTCCAAAAATGATGCCAAGGTGGCTGTATTTGTAATTCTTTAAATAATTAGTTTTAATCAATTAATTTTTATTAATTATAATTAAATTATTGTATTGTCATCCAAAATAATCATGCATATAAAATTTCTGCTCAATTGAGCGCTTTAAAAAGTATTTTATTAACGATTGAAAATTCCACCAAGATAAATGAATAAATAAATACATAGAGAATGTGAGCTAATAGTAGGAATTGAAAAAGTAGTTTGTTCTTGATCCATCTTCAGGTATGTCTTAAGATTTCTTGAGGGCCTGGGCCAATATGCAAAAGTAGGTCCCACCTGTGACCCTTAAAAGTAGACAGTATATAGCATACGATGTTGAATACTCGTACAAATGATCATTTGAAATAAATAAATGTGCATGGCTAACAAACTCACAATCCAGCTGGACCGACTACCACCTTTCGATTTAATGAGTATTGATGACGTATAGTGGCAGGCCTAGGCCTAGATATGTACATTGGTCATCATATAATAATGCGGTCTTGCCACTGTTTCCAGTTGGTATCAGGGGCGGCTTTAGTAGTTTTGCCATCTCGGACAAAAATGGAAAATGCCGCCCCTCTCTGAAGCAAAAAATTATAATTAAAAAAGATGGATTGTTCACATAAATAAACGCCTATAAAACTTGAATAATTTTTGAGAACAAAAAGGCAGCATAGCAATTATATATATTATTTAAAGCCTTAAAAAGTACAAAATAATTCGAAATTAAGAACAGAATTACCTGTTATTATTTGAAACGAGTAAAATGTAAGAGAAGGAATCGTCCATTTCAGCAGGCCAATTTCTTCGAAAAAAAGTCTACTGATAGTGGGGATCACAAGTGTTTATTTTAACTTATATTAACTACACTTGAGACTAAAATAAAACACCTCATGAGGCTCTCTATCAACCGAAAACTCTAATTACCCTTGCCCCCTTTTGGATGGCTGAAACAGGACATCGTACAGGTGAAAAGAATGTTCGTTGTGACCTCACTCCGGATTGGGGAGCAAGTTACCAGTAAGAGATGTGTAAACCTATCAAATTTCATGATTTAACATGTACTCCCGTCTCGAACCATTCAAGTCTCAATATAAAAGAAAGCTAACATTAAACATACAGAGTACAAAATAAGTAAATAAAGTACATTAAATGAAATACCAAATTCCCATCCAATAATATTTCAGAAAATATATAAAATCTTTTGTAATAAAGAAAAAATATTTCTCTCAAATTCAATCTAAATGCTTCCCTTAAAATTTACCGCCCCGGGCAGAGGTCCAACCCTAGAGCTGCCCCTGTTGGTATATAGTTCGAAATCCCAATTTTCAGGAGAACTATAAGTAGCATCAGACGAAAGCTTGAATTAAAATTAATTCAAACGTCGAAATTTGGTAGTGAAAGCCACCACTAGATGGTGCCACCATGAAAGGGCTGTTTAATTTAGGGACTTTCCGTGTTTTCAAAGGCTTGCTGTAAAAATGTAGCCCATTAGAAGAAAGAGGCTTTTAGGAGAATATGTCAGGGAAACACTACCCATTAAAATACCGTAAAATCCGACGTATAACGTTCCCTTTTAACACAAAAAGTAAGATCGAAATTTAAGGTTGAGCGTTATACACCGGATATTAAAATAGTAGCTTCAAAAATATAAAAGAGATGAGCATAAAAAAAAATCAGACTTCTTCATATATCGAAATACGCTTTATTTAAAAGAAATGAAATAGTCCCTTATGAACTTAAAGAGTTGTATTTTTAGTAGTATACCATGTTTTTGCAAAAAGCATGGGATAATACCTCGAATAAATGACTTCAAAATAAACAAGTAACATAAATTTTTTTTTTAAGTCAATTCCTACTTAGATCAACAAAGAAAATTTTTATTTTTTAGGTACTTTTTATTAAATAGTTGCAATTAATATAAATATGTTTGTACATATGACAGAATTACAATATTAAGTGGTAATTAATTTTTATTAATTACCGTTAAAGTATCGTATTGTCATCCAAAACAATCGTATATATAAAATTTCAGTTCAACTGAATGCTTTAAAACGTGAGAAAAGAACCTTTTCGAGTTTTGACACAAGTAGCCAAAATGATCGCTAAGTCGCCAAAAATGATGCCAAAGTGGCTGTATTTGTAATTCTTTAAATAATTAGTTTTAATCAATTAATTTTTATTAATTATAATTAAATAATTGTATTGTCATCCAAAATAATCATGTATATAAAACTTCAGCTCAATTGAGCGCTTTAAAATGTATTTTATTAACGATTGAAAATTCCACCAAGATAAATAAATAAATAAATATATAGATATTGTGAGCTAGTAGTAGGAATTGTGAAAAAGCATTGTGCATACGTACATTTCAGGTTTTTCGTAAAAAAGAAGGTGCGTGTTACGCGGCTAGATGATTACTGTTTGAGAAATCATGAGGTTTTATTTACATGTAAACTGATGCGCAATATGAAATTAAGTAATTATTAAGAACGTTATAAAACTGTAATATTCATAATATAATAACTTATTATAAAACTATAATGTTCATAATAACAACTTATTATAAAAATATAATATTCATAATAATAACTAATTATAAAACTATAATATTCATAATAATAACTTATTATAAAACTAAAATATTCATATAATATAATAACTTATTATTATAAAACTATAATATTCATTATATTAATTATAAAAAAATACGATATCAATAGCAAACCTTGAAGTTAATTTTTCAAGACATTAGTTCAATTCCTACTATTAGTTCAAACTCTCTCTATCTTGTTTAAATTTTCAATCTTTAATAAAATACTTTCTATTTATCCATTCAAGTTCAACTACATTTTTTTAAACTTGTAGTGGATGGCACTTGATGTTAATATAGTTTTTTCAAATATTAATTCATTAGTTAAACATAATGAACAAATAGTAACAAACAAAAAATAATAGTCCAACACCATATATACAAAGAAAAATCGTTCTTTGAGTCCCTGTAGTGCAATGGCTAGGGCGTTAGACTTCTAATCAAAAATCGTGGGTTCGAATCCCACCTGGGACGGCCTAATTTCTTAGAGAGAGAGTAT